TGTGGCTGACAAAAGCAGGAACCATTCCCAGCCTCTGTGTGAGCACCAAGCAACTGTTTACTCCAATCTTACCAGATGGGTCCCCTGACCTTGGGTAGACTCTTCACAAAGATGCACCAATCTCTACTGAATGCTCAAAGGGGACTTCACGGATCTCCAGAATCTTCTATGAAGCTTTCTCTTCTCCCATTCTCTGTCTTGTAAACTCCAGCTGCCTTATCCTCCCCAGACTCTCAGTGAGACCACTGTGCTCCACCTGGGCCCTTCCTCCCTGTACATGGCCTAGAAATTCTCTTAAGACATTAAGCTGGAGGCAGTCACAGGGCTCACCTCAAGCCTTTTCCACTTTTGGAGATCACTGTTCTTCACTGTTTGATGTCCAGGGTCTTGCAAACCATTGTTTCATATATTCTCATTTTTTTGTTGTTGTTCCTTTTGGCAAGGGTGGTTAATCTGGTACCTGTTATTCCATGTTGACAGGAGAAGTTCCTGCTTGCCAAGTTTCCATCAATTACATTCACATTGCCAACTTGAATGATCAAGTCTTAGTCTTCATCTTACTTGACGTAACTATAGTTTCTGATAAGCTGATGCCTCCCCCACTTTTTGTGTGAAGATTCAAGGGCATGTGTTTATTTTGGTTTTATGTACCTCTCCAGCCATTCCTTGCTGGTCTGCCACATCAACTGTTAACTATGGAACAAATGCCTCAGGATGCAAGCTGAAAATTTTCTATTGTCTGTCTATGCCCACTTGACCTGGTGATCTTATCTAGCTGCATAGCTTTAGTATATGTGCTACCGAAGCGAGCACTCTAGCTGCATAGCTTTAAATAATTTCTATAGCTAAGTCTCAATTTTACACCTCTGGCCTAATCTTAGACTGGCATACCCAACAGCCTATTCAACATATCCACTTGGATGTCTTAATAGAACATATCTAAAATATGCTAAAATGTTACCTCCTGATCTCCCACCTGCCACCCCACATGCCACTCTACCTGTAGTCTTCCCCATTTCAGTTAAGGTGAACTTGAATTTCACCATTCCAGTTGTTTAGGCCAAATTTTTGGGTCATATCACTGCTGAAGCTGCCGTCCCCCCGCCAGCCATAGGCTCTCCTTTCCAAATACATCCAGAATCCAATTACTTTTCCCCACCTCTACTGATACCATTCTGGTCTAGTATACCATCATGTCTTGCCTGGATTATTGCAATAGCCTTCTAACTGGTCTTCTTGTGTCTATCTTTACCTCACTTGAAAATCTTTTTTCAATAAAGTAGCCAGAGTGATCTTGTTAAGATGTCAGTAAGACCATTTCACATCTCTGCTCAAAACTCTACAATGGTTTGGCTGTCTTACTTATGAAGAAGCCAGGATTCTTTTTTTTTTAATGTTTATTTGAGGGAGTGCATGCACACATGCACAAGTCAGAGAGGGACAGAGAGAGAGGGAGAGAGAATTCCAAGAAGGTTGTCAGTGCAGAGTCCAACACACGAGGCTCAGACTTATGAACCATGAGGTTATGACTTGAGCCAAAATCAAGAGTTGGACACTCAATTGACTGATCCACCCAAATGCCACCAAAATTCTTATAAAAGCCTAATAAAGCACTATACAGTCTGGTCCCATTTCTTCACCTATCTTTTTTCTCCTACTGTGTGCTCCCTGCACACTAGCTATGGAGGAATCTTAAATGGTCTTTGAATATACCACGAATGCTTCGGCTTCACAGCCTTTGCATGTACTGTTCTTTCTGACTAGAATGTTCTTCCCTTAGGTACCTCCTATGTTTCTTATCTCCTGTGTTCAAATGTCACCTCAGTGAAGCCCTCTCAAGCACTCTTGTGAAATCAAACAATCCTGAATCCCTCCTACCAGTCAGGGCACTTAGACTGTATCATTTAATATATTACATACTATTCTTACTTATTTTATTGTTTCTCTCTACCTTCTATGAAGGCAGGAATTTTTGTCGGTAGACAGCACCTTGTATAGTGCCTACCGCAGAGCAGGTACTTGAATCAATATTTGTTAAACAAATTAATGAAATTAGAGGATTTAAAAAATTGTTCCAAAGTGTTCTAAAATTAATCACTTCTATTAAAGTACTGTAATTGCTTGCTTGAACTGGAATCGTTGCAAAAGCATTCAGGAAAAAAGAACGTCAAAATCCAAAGCCACCCAGACAGGGCCCCTCCTACAAATACCCATTACCTTGGCCTCTGGAGTCCATTTTATAACAAGTCCAACTTATTTGGAAAAAAATTAGAAAAGAACAATTTCTGGCAATAAGCCTATACTCATATGGTAACTTAAAAACTTTAAAAATTGCTTCATTGAGATACAATCCACATACTATAAAAATCACCCTTATTTTCTTTTTAATGTTTAGTTTTGAGAGAGACAGACAGACAGACAGACAGAGTGCAAGCGGGGGGGGGGAGGGGTAGACAGAGAGGGAGACACTGAATCTAAAGCAGACTCCAGGCTCTGAGGGGTCAGCACAGAGTCCTACATAGGGCTCGAACCCAGGGACTATGAGATCGACCTGAGCCAAAGTCAGATCCTTAACCGACTGAACCACCCAGGTGCCTCAAAAATCAGTCTTTTAAAGTGTACAATTCATGGGGCACCTGGGTGGCTCAGTCAGTTAAGGATTCTGGATTTTTGGTTATGTCACGATTCCAGGGTCATGGATGGGATCAAGCCCTGAGTCGGGCTCTGTGCTGGCTATGGAGCCTGCTTAAGATTCTCTCTCTCCTCCCTCTGCCCCATCTCTGTGTGCATGCGCTCGTGGCTCTCGCTCACTCCCTCTCAAAAAAAAATTTTTTTTTAAATGGCTTTAAACAGAAACACACAAAAAGCAAGGTTATGTATTGATCTGTTGATAGAAATGTGACCAAAGGCTTGCAAGAACCCAACCCTGTATCTCCCCTAAAAACAGTTCAGAATTTGTTAATTCAGTGTTTGCGGCTTTGCAAAACCTGAATAACAAAAATCGATGGCAAATGGAACCCTACAATATATGACATTTTGTGTATGACTTTCATTTAGCAAAATGCTTTCATGTTTAATGTTGCGTATACCTGTACTTCACCACTTTTATTATGACTAAATAATATTCCATTGTAGTGGGATACCACTTTTGTTCATTCATTCATCAGGTGATAGGCATATGGGTTTTTCCTACCTTTTGACTATTATGAATAATGCTGCTATGAACATTTGTGTACAAGATTTTATGTGGATAAAACCTTTTTTTTTTTAAAAAGTATTTTTATTTTGAGAGAGAAGGAGAGGGAATGCGTGTGGGTAAGTTGGGGAGGGGCAAAGAGGAAGAGAGAGAATTCCAAGCAGGCTCCATCCACTCTGTCAGTCTGGAGTCCTAAATCCAACTTGGGGCTCAATTTCACTAACTGTGAAATCATGGCCTGAGCTAAAATCAAGAGTCAGATGCTTAACTGACTGAGCCACCCAGGTGCCTTTTAATTGTCTTGGGTATGTAACTAGCAGTGGAATTACTAGGTTATATGATAACTCAACATTAACTTTTAGAGGAGCTGTCAAATTGTTTTCCAAGTGCTGCACCATTTTACAGTTCCACTAGCAACGTATCAGGGTTCCAATTTCTTCACATTCTCACGAACACTTATTGTCCATCTTTTTGATTATAATCATTCTTTAAAAAAATTTTTTTTTAATGTTTATTTATTTTTGAGAGAGAGAGAAACAGAGCATGAGCAGGGGAGGGACAGAGAGGGAGGGAGACGCAGGATCTGAAGCAGGATCCAGACTCTGAGCTGTGAGCACAGAGCGCAATGTGGGGCCTGAACCCACAAACCATGAGTTCATGACCTGAGCCGAAGTTGGGTGCCTGACTGACTGAGCTACCCAGGGGCCCTGATTATAGTCATTCTGGAAGGTGTGAAGTGGTATCTTGTTTGGGTTTTGATTTGCCTTTCTTTCTTTCTTTCTTTCTTTCTTTCTTTCTTTCTTTCTTTCTTTCTTTCTTTCTTT